AAATTAAAATCAAAGTTTCTGTGAATTCATTAAACTGCAAGACAATCACAGTAAAACACGCTAAAGACTCAGTGGAACCAACAAAGAGAGCAGCTCAGCATTGTTCTTTGATTATTGACCGCAGTTCACCAGTTTATTGTTGTGTTTCTGATAGTCCTAACCATGCTATCAGAAATTGAACTGTGCTCTATTTGTAAATTAGTAAAATAGAGAAGTAAAACAATTTCTTTATTGCACAGCTGTGAATAAGACAGATATTAAAATCCCCTTATCAAAAGTAGATAATGATCTTATGGGAAATAATAAAAGCAATTAGTTTCATTTTGTATGTAATTTTTTTTTAATTACTGCCAGTAAATAACTGGTTTATTATCACACTAAAAAAGTATACTCATAAAACCTCTTTTGACATTTCTTATCTGGGGAGAGAAAAAAGAAATGAAAGCTTCAGTTTATTGATTGCGCTGAAATGCATAAAAATTTTTTTTAAAAGAGGCAGAAATGTAAACGACGCATATGCACTTGGCTATAGCGCAAAACGCTGTGTTGTATCTCCTGTTCCAGAAAACGGATTACAGATAATTTTAAATGAATGACAGTAACCACAAACACAAATATCCATTGTTATTTTATTGGTTATTTATTGAATTTAGAAATAAATCGTCATGGGTTTCCATATCTACAACATGCTAAATAGAAAACATTTTGTTTTGGGATTTTTGAGCACAACTCAAGCAAAAATGCAGTAATTTATAACTGAAACATTTCTCTGACCTCGTGGGTAGAAGATGGATGGATTTCAGAGATAAATTTATTTTGCAGCATAGAACATTGAAAATCTAACCATACATTTGTTGCTTCAAGTCAAATTAAATTTACATATGCATGAAATAAATACAATCCAAAATGTACAGTGACTGCCAACACCTCAACTCCAATCAATTCAATCGAGTTTGACTCAGCAGCGTCGATTTCTAATGAAAATATCTCCTTAGGACAGTTGACAGGAAAAACAGATCCAATTTACATCCTCAGAGACATATACTCAAAAGATTAATGTTCAATTATATAGATTCAGATGTATTCCAATTTTAACCTAATTATAGTAAAGTGTAGTCTGATTTCCGGTATAAAGCCAATGGGTTTGAAGTCAGACAATTTTCAATCTGAAACAGCCGCCTGCAGAAAAACACACAATAACTGAAAATGTCCTTCAATACAAACATAGATGAGTCTGACCAACTTTCTATGATTTGAAGGCAATTTTTTTCACGTCATCGAAAAAGTTGGGAGAGTGTTTCCTCATATTCTTAAAAATTGTCAAGCGGATAGGAGAGGGCCCTGATGTTTAGTGTCTATGCAAGTTTTATGTTTCAAGACTGAAATTATCATTCTAGACAAGAAAAAAAATCAACCCTGAATAACAGTAATTGTCTTTTAGATTGAAATCAAAGGGAACTTTGTCATAAATTTTACTATGACTGACAGCATGCTTCATTGCTCCTTGGTTAATGTGCACATTGCTCCCTCTTCTGGTTAACAGGCAGCAGCATTTTAGAGGAGGAAATGGCTGTTTTCTTTGTTTTAGAAGAAGAATTGATGTTAACAGTAACTGTCACTTTTTTTTTCTTAGGAGCTTACAAGTCCCTACTTATAGAATAGCAGAAATGTATTATTTGGCAAGCATTTTCTTCAAAAAGTGAAGTGAAATCTACATTTATTTTACCAAAAATAATAATCTTAAAATGAGAAAAACTTCAGTTTTGAGCCTTTTAACTCAGTCTGGACAGCTTTGTGTATTTTTTAAAATGTTCACTTTCGGGGTTTCTTCAGACACTGTGCTGAGGAGAGTTGGCATTTCATGGGCTGACGAACCTGAGATTGAGCCTGAAATCACCATTCTCAGGTTGGACAGTCCTGGAAAGAACCACTCAGTAGTCAAAGAGCGGGGCGCTGGTCTCGGTCAGGCCGCTCCGTGAGCCTCAGCTCGCTGAGTCCACGGCGAAGGCAAAATTTCCTGACAAACATAAAAACAAAACAAAACAAAAAAAATAAAAAATCCAACGGGTGAAAAAATGGGAAATATGTAGCTCTAAAAAAAAAAAATCTGATTTAGTTACATCTTTGCAAATGTAGAATGATTTCCACCTTATTATGACTGGTTGCCGACAAGGCTAATTACAACACATAAAAGTGCATCTTCTTAGTTTTATAAATGTTGCTAAACTATCTACCGCCTAGTTGTCCCCTTTCAGATAAGTTTATAATTTCAGTAGGTGAGAGAATAATTCACCTGTCCAACATAATAAAATGTTTCAGGCCTGAGCTGAATGCATGAGATTTTGGTGGGAAGAATCCAGACTGGCGGGAAAAAAAGTGGGAAACTTCTAATAAAAATACAATCAAAAGATATTCTCTTTGTTTTTTACTTTTTTCTGTTTAATTCCTTTGCTCAGTTTCCGTAAATGAGTCTTTGTGCCTTGCTATGGTTTTTAAGTTTTAACATCAGACGCTATTATAAAGCTTAAATGCTCTCATAAAGGTCGATTAACCGACGTAAGAGGTGATGGGCTTTTTGTTGTCTTTCTGTTTTTAAAATTCAATCTCAGAAAACTTAATGCACAGTCTCTGAAGCACCACAGCACCACATTTGTCTTTCTGTTGCCTGCTGACCTGCACTCACAGAGCAATTAAACACTCAGCCATCTGAGCGTAATGCACAAACTGCATCTCTCCCTGGAAACATCTAAATCACCCCGGCCTGGCTTGATGAGGACTGTCCAGTCTCTCAGAGATTCTACCCTCATATTAAACTATGCAGATGGAGAGACGATGAGACGCACAGACAAAGAGAGAGGGCGAAGGGAGCAGGAGGGGGGAGAAGGGAAAGATAGTACTTTACCCTCTCAAACACGCTAATCTAAACCCTCTTCATGTGATTCAGAAATACTTCATTGTCTGAATAATTCATTTTCAACTCTGAGCACTGAGCTGCTGCTCTCCGTTGGCCTAGATTACATCACATGTCCAACCCTTACACCCTCACAGCCTGATTGCACACTAAACCAAACAAATAGCAGCCATAAAACATAGTTATTTCCCCACATTGCTATTGCAGTAATCATGGCACCTTCACAAAATCTAATCCTGAATTAAGACCCCCCTTGGAAGTGTTCAGAGCATGCTACATACCCACATGGCAGACCCTGTGGCTCATCGCACCACAGTTCATGACAAGGCAGGTAGACACCGTCATGTGAAGCGCAGAGCAAAAGACACAAAGAGAGCAGAGGAGTAACCTGGCTGAAACCGTGTGATGTGAGATGAAAAAAGAAACACAGGTCTCTGAGTTTTAACGGCCACTCCTGCAGTCTTCAGCAGGCTGTGACCTCATCATGCTCTGTGCTACCAATGGGGATGCAACAAAACGCACAGTGACACGCCACCTTCCTGTTTGTCAGTGCCGGTGCTGAACTTTCCATTGACAGCTTCATTCATTTAGTTTAAATGCATTTTGCTGAGTTTTTTTGTTTTGGTTTTTAAACCATGCTTTCTTTTCAAGCGATCTCTTTCACTAAATTTAATACGGAATCTTTACAAAAAGAGATTTCTATGTTAAATTATTCAAAGAATTAACATTTGAATAAAACCACATCAATCAAAACTGGAAAAATTTGTCTTTTAATTGTGTATAAAAGTGTTGAATTCTTTTTAAAAAATTGCTGCTGCTGCTGCTGCTGAATGTTTGATATTTTTATCTCTTGCATGTCTGCTCTCCATCCCCCTCACAGCTTCACTCTGAAAGAAAAACCGTGCTTCTGACTGCCGATACCCACCCAGCAGGCCAGCAGTTTGTAATTGTCTCTCAGTCTCATGAGATGTGTGCCAATCATATTTTATGGTGACTGACGTCTCGACAGCTGTCAGGGTGATAATTATGGAAACTAATGGAAGATACTGAGGTTACTTTCCATGAGAAGAGGACAACCACAATATCCTTCCTGTTCTTCCTCCGTAGCGCAGGTAATGTGCTGAACGGCTTAATATTAAGTCTGCTGCATTTGCTGAGGTGCATTTCACTTGCATGTTTTATAAAAGTGATGCAAGAGCAAAATTAACCTTTTGCAGGGAAGCTCGGGGGAAATCGGTTTTTTGTTGCACTATCATCTCGAGCTGCTACATTCACACTCACTGGACTTTTTGAAACATTTTTGTCACATTAACTGATTTCTTCTTTTTTTTGGTGAGATTTTATTTGAAAGGTTGACAGAGTAGTGCAGAGTGGTGAAGGGAATGGAAATAAAAATAAAAATAAAAAAAACCTTGAAAAGTGCAGAGTGCACTTGTCTTCAGCCTGCTTTACTCTGGCACCCTTAAATAAAGTCCTGTGTAACAAATTGCCTTCAGAGGTCAAAGGTTAAATATATTCAAAATGTATGAAATTTAATCTTAGTATAATGGTTCTGCAAAGCTTTGAGGGTGTTGTTGGAGAACATCTCAATCATCTCACAGGTGATCATACAATTCCATCATCCTAAAATGAATATTTGACACAAACGCCTACCCACCTCCGCTGACTGGCAAGGCAAATCAGGGACGGAGCTGTGAGGCTCATAGTAACAGAAACCCACATCTCTGGGGTGAGAATATGTTCATACATTTCAGAGGAACACGCTACAAATCTGGTTTCTATGTAAGAACAGAAAGTCACAAGCTGTCCTGTTTGCCACAAGTAATGTAGGGAACCACTCAACTTGTCTACAAGAAGGTGCTCTGCTAAGAATCAGCCAAACTGAACTTTCGGCCAACATGTGAAACCTTATGTATGGCGGAAAAGCTAATGGTGCTCATCGCCCTAAAAGTATCATCACAATGAAAACACAAAATGTTGGCAGCATCGTGTTGTAGACGTACACCTTCCACCCAATCTGAATGGAGATCAGCTGTTTTGCATATAAGAATCACGCATCATTTCAAGCACTGAATAAAAATGCACGCCACACTTTTCAGATGTTTTTATTTGCAAAATAATTTTAAAAACATTATATGATTTTTCCATCAGCATCACAATAACACAATACTTTATTTTGGTTTGACACAAAAAAAGTGCAAATAAAACAGTGACATTTGTGGTGATTGCATAACAAAATGTGAAAACGTTCAGAGGGTATGAAATGGCACACAGTAATTTTATTTCAGTATGGACAGAGTTTATTGGTAAGTAACACGTTGTATAATGGAGGGGCAGGGATAAGCAAATATGACATATCTTCAACTAACATGATGCAGTATTTTCCACTTTTCAAAAAAAATTATCTTTTTACCGTACTTTTTAACATTTCCACTTCAAATCAACGCCGATATTGCAAAAATGTAAATGATAAAAACACTACAATCTCAACGACTTGACCTTCAAGATATGAACTGTAGAACTGCAGAGTTTGACCCCAGTTCTGGTAAACTGAATATTTCACAACAATAAAAACATTGCAACAACAGATTAATATCACGTGTTTTTAATAAAGCTCCCCAATCAAATCATTCGGCACATTGTGGATAATTTTATACCATCATTTCCCTCTTTTCAAATCACCAATCCCACCCACTGGGTTAAAACCATACGCCTAATCAGTGTTTGCTTTATGCAGATGACCCATTTCCACAGCAACAAAAAGATGCACGCCCGTCCCGCTCAGCTGCTTCATACATAGGAAAAATAGATGTAAATGACAGAAAATTAATGTACACCGCAAGTACATACTTAAAACTGTATAATGAACTTCAGTTTTCAACATCCTTTTTAGGCTGGATAGGTCAGCATCCATGTTGAAGGAAAAGGTTGAACGAGAGAGCTAAAAAAAAAATAAATACACCCACACATTTTCCGATTGAATGGTCCTTCAGAAAAGCCTCACGGCGATGGAAGTTGAGCAAGACGGGTTCATGCTACAATCTTACTTTTCTGAAAGTTGCAAGGAAGGGGGCATGTGGTGAAAAAATAAAAAAAAATACAAAAGAAAAAAAAAAACAGAAAAAGCTTCAGTTTCTTTTTTAAAAAAGTGTGCAAGCTCACATTCAATTGTGTCGTCCACAGTAGGTGACTTAAGGCAAGATATACGTCTTAAAACTGCACTTTTTTAATAGATTGTCACAATTTAAATATTTTAGCTCTATAACGAACTGTAAAAATAAGAAATATTTTGGATTCATAACAGCAAAGTCACTCAACAGTGTTCAAAATTGATTTTTAAATGCAATGATTTACAAGTTAGTCTATTTGCAATCTCCCGTTTCCTGATTTTGAATTATTTTGCATGTCTTTCCTGTTCAATCCCTGAAGTACGCAGGCCGCAGTAAGAAGGAGAACGATGAGGAGCATGTCTTCAGATTGCCGCCCAAGAGCCTGAATCCTCAAAGCATGCGCGACAATCAGTAACTGGGCTCGTCTAAGTCCTCATCGCTCCAGTCAGGCGGTGCGTCCGTTCCAAAATACCGATCTCCAAAATTTCCTATGCGGAATAAAAAGATGTTTTATAAACTGGAATCGGCTAATTTTCCATTGATCATTTGAAACGACTTTGACGCACCTTTTTTTTAGCTTAACAACTGAGAATCAAAAAGGAAAACTAAAGATCCAAACCGCACTCACCAATGCCAGGAATGATGTGAAAAACATCATTGACCTTCTTGTCCACGGCTGTGGTGATGATTTTCACCTGTGGGAATGCATAGGCCACTGAATGGACTCCCATTTCTGCCATTAGCAAAGAAACTAACAGGATCTTGTCTTCCTGAACATCATGGTCCTGAAAATGAAAATAATAATAATATTAATAATAATAATAATAAAAAAAAACCAGGTTAAATATTGAAAAAAGGACATTTTTGGATCAATCAACACCAGCAAAACTCGAACAGCCATCATGGCAGCAGCCCCGGTGGACACAGTGCAGTCCATCAGAATCACGTGGTCCTCACTGATGTCTTTGGGTAGACGAAGGTAATGAAGCTGAAAATGTGCAGACAGGATGTGTGTGGTTAATACCAAAAACGTGACATAACTGACCTGCTGCTATGTTCGGGGCTCCTGCACCTTCCTAAAAGTCAAAGTCAGGAGCGCTTCAAACAGCTGCTCATTGAAACGTTTATATTCATGAAATTGGATGCAACAGTTTTATTTGAATTACTCATCCAGTAAAGTTAAGTTATAAACTACATTGAAAATGGTTTACATCATGCTTACTGAGAAACAGAAAGGTAAAGCAATTTAAGTTTTAAATATTTTATTCAAAATTCAAGAAAAACATGACTTAGCAGTGTTGTTGAATGATGCAGTACTGATTGTTACATTCTCCTCATTAGTGTCAACTTGGTGTCCATATGTATTAAAAAGTTACACAGCTAAAGATCTACTATAAAAATACATAATGAAATAAATTTAACAGAACAGTGAGCTCTATTAATGAACTCTACTGAAAATAGGTTTGTGTTTTTTATTATCATCACAATGAAAACACAATCATAAAAACAAGCAAAACAAATCTTAAAAAATATGTTCAACTTTACAAGCTTAGTGCAAAAATGCACATATTTTTATAGTAATATGCAATTACTATACTCTTAAAATAGTTTGGCTTTATATTTATGCTCATTATTTGTAAGACCAGTTATATTTATATTTCTTTTTTTTTTCCCAAACTGGTCAACTGCAAGACCAATTTGCAGGAATTAAAAATAAAGTCTTCTAATTCTAAGTTAAATAGATTCTTGCAAAGGAAAGTAAGTTTAGACAGTAATGTGCGTCTAACAGCTCTGCTGTGGCTACAGTAGTGATTGTTGTACCTCAGGTTCCCCTGTGTCCTGGTTGGTCTGGATGAGGATCTTCCCGATGCGGACGTCTTTACAGACGGCCCTCAGGGCTGGTTCCATGGTCTCACCAGCTCTCAGGATGGACACCCCTGTAATCTTTTGGAGGAAAAAATTTTCATAAAAACAAAGTTATTTTAAGCGGCTTTAAGCTGTGACTATTGGAAAGAAAGCTAAAATGAAGCTCACTCACTCGCTTTCCATGGAAACTCCTGCCTTCGTAGTCCTCTCCCTGGGGGGTCTGCACTATGTGGACCTGAGTTAATATTGGAGAGCATCACAGTATAAACAAAGAGCTGTTCAGAATGCTGTATACTGAACTGCAGATGTCTAAAACATACAATCAGATACGCTAAGGGGCATTAGAAACTCATGTGAGTGAGTGAGAGATGCACACAACAACCCAGAATTAAGGTTTAAACTTTCCATTGTGGTGAGTTTCTCAGTTTCCATGCTTGTGTCGCAGGTCATCTCAGATCTCTTTCTAACACAAGCACTTCATCTTTCCATTTGTCTTTATCTTTTCACACTGTTCACATTTTAAAGCCATCTACATGTTTTGTTCTCACTGCGTCCCGAACTGATTGCTGGCTGTCTTTATGCTTATTACATTCTACACCTCAGATTCCATGCAGCATGAATTGATTTATTTAGATGTATTTAACCTGAGAGGGGAGAAAGGAGAGCGCTCGCTCAATCAACAGGCGCATCAACCTCTTTGAGTAGAAGATGAACTCATCGCGGCTGGTTTCCTTGTTTCTAAATGAGATGAGCAGTGAAAAGATAAGAGTTACAAAGTTTATTCAGACAGCAGAGGCTTCATTCTGCTGAGTCTTCCATTAGGGTGTTTTTCCTGAAGCGTTTACCTGATGATGGTGTGCATGCCCCTGACTTGGGGTGTGCTCTCCAGAACACTGAGGGTCTGGGGGAGGGGTTGGGCCTGGTGTGCAGAAGCCAGGGCTGCCCTGTAACCACGGCAACAAATAGTAAAGCGGGGGCGGCAGAGGGCGAGAGTGCCAAAAACAGAAAGAAAGATGGACAGAGACTTGAGTGCAAGCACAAATGGAGGCGAGCGCAATTAAGACTTGTGCAGGAATCGTGTGGAATTCACACAGAGGCGTGCAGACACACTCTGTATATTCATATTCAGAAAACAGACACACACACACACACGGGTGAATTTACATGCAAATAAAAAAGTAAATCAATAAAGACCTATTTTTCTGTAGTAGTTAGAGAGAATTTGAAAAGCAAAGCAAAATCTGCAAGAGTACTTCTGGACTAAAAAATAAAAATTATAGAAAAACGAAGAGTGCACAGTTTTAGCAGAGACCGTGATAATGGATTTAAAAAAACCATCACAACTAAAAATAACTTTAAAATATTCTTTTGAATATCATTTGTAAGAATAAAATAAATAAACATCATGTTAAAGGGAATATAACATAGTTCAACAAGTAATATGAAAACCATCTACAACTAACTTTCTTTGTTTTGCAAAGCTGATAAGTAAATCATGAGGCATTTTTCTGAAATTTTTAATTGTGTATGAAGATAAATTTCATGCATATAAAGTTCCTCTGTATTGTGGTGGACTGTTATGTCTCAAAGCTACTTCTTTCAGATAATACTTCCAGACTCTTCCTTCACCTTTATGGATAGATACCCATGTAAATATTTACTTTAACTAGAATTTGAGCTGGAGACTTTGCTACCTCTACAAATGCAGTTCAGATTAAATGCTATTACTGTTAAGCAAGTGTGTTTCTGACACTGGCTTTTTCCCTTCATGCTGTTTCTTTTTCTAGCTATTTCTCTATATCATTAATAAAATTACAACGTACATATGAAAAGGAAAACTGATATATGCCCTTAAAACAAAAACAAATAGAAAGTGTTCTTTTTTTTTTTTTTTTAATTGGTCTCTGCTTAACCACTCATAGACATTAGGTTTGTAATCTAACTGGTTGATTTTGATCTCCAGACGAGCAAAACAGAGTTATAAACACCCAGTGATGCAGTTATGTTGACACTACAAAATATCTACACCATCAGAAACATTACAAATTAGCCAAAGGCAAGAAAAGAAAGATTGTAGCAGATCTGCTCACATATCCCAGCGAAGTTTCCTCTAAGGGGAGATTTTTGTTTTGTTTTTTTGACAAGACAACAATCACACAGAAGGGGACAAAGAAAAGACAAACAGATAAGAGAAGACAAATGAGAAGAGACACAACATCAGGTGAATGAAAGGATGAAGGTTGATCAGACAGTGTAAAGTGTGACAGCTGCGACTATGTAGAAATATGTCAAATTGTCATTTCAATTACAAAACAAACCAGCTCCCCCCCCAAAAAAAACCTCAATAGTGGATGTATTCCATAACATTATGAAAGCCTGAGCTACCGTCTATAGTTTCACATATTTCTACAGATACAATAGAAAACAGAAGTATTGCCTTTTGGATCAGATTTTGATATCTGCATGTGCATCCAGTGTGTGTACGCGTGGGCGGTGCACAAGCGCTGGTGCGGCTGTCACTCTTTCACCGTGTAAAACAGTAAAGGTTGGTATTTCAGCTCACAGGCCCCAGCACATCCTGTGTCTAAAGGCAGACACCGAGCTCACTTCCTTTCTCTGTCTGCCTCATGTACTGTGGCCGACATTCAATGGAAAAACTCGCTGCTTTGTAGTACGGTATTGGAAACTTTCTCTGTGGCTGAGGTATGCAATAATCAACAATAGTTGCAGCGAGAGCTTCCTTTCTCTTTTTCTGCTTTCTGTTAAGAGTCTCTTTTGCTTCACCTCTGTTGCTGCCACTTGAAGGAGGGGTCAGTTGCTCAGACTCATGGCTGTATTTTTAGACACAGGAGTCAGGAAGAGTGTGAGCTGTCATTTCTTTAAACATAAAGAGAGGAAAAACCAACACCTTTCACCGCGTGCTGGCTGCGACGCACCACTTTTAAACTTTTTAAACTACAGTTTGGAACTGGCCCACAGATTCAGATTTTACAATCTTGAAACAATCACATCCCTTTAACTGTTTTCATATTTTTCTCACATTCCAACCACAGTTGTCATCATGTTTTTATGGGATTTTATTGGGTAGACTAACAAAAAGTTTTATATTATTGCAGTGTGGGAGGAAAACGACATGGTTTTCAAACATGTAAACATGAAAATTGTGTCATGGATTTGATTTCACACCCCCTGAGTCAATACTTTGAAGGACTAGCTCTTGTTGAAGCTACAGCTGTGGGTCTTCTGTGGCATGAAAACAAGCTCTGCACATATATAGATTGACTTCTGCCCTGGTCTCAGGTTTATTTTTTGTTTTTTTTTGCAGCCTTCAACTCTTAAGGAACTTGTAGGCCAAAATGATTAATTTTAGTCTAATGCTGTGTAGGATTGTTTTTTGTAACAATGGCTTTCTTTGTTCAACCTCACCATTATGGCTGGATGTGAGAAGTGACGGGACTAATTATCCTGACTAATGAGTCTCCCAGTGGATCTCTGAAGCTCAACTTGGCTGGTTCTCTGATTTAATCTCGTCTTACCCAGCCATGTCTTGGTAGGTTTACCGCTGTGTCACACTCTTTCCATTTTCAGATGATGATCCGAACAGTGCTTGATGAGGTGTTAAAAGTTCAGTTCAGTATATTGGTTCAGGACATTTTTAGGAAACACATCTCTGACTTGTCCGTTGTGTTAACTGACACTGATTGTTTTTTAACAAAACTCTGAGGCATCCAAATACCTCTTTATTATATACTGAGATTAAATTGAACACAGATATGCACTTTATAACGAGGCAACTTCTGAAGGTAACCGACTGCACTGTATGTTATTTTGGGGTGCCAGAATAAAGGGGCTTTTCCATGTGTAAAAAATCCCTTACACATAAAAGTAAGTAGTTTCAAACTTTTTTGTGGAATGTGATTTTTCTTCCGCCTTCTGAAAAAAGACTTGAAGTTTGTGTTTGTAGCGTGACAAAATGTCTGAATATTTCTTGCACAGCTCTGTGACATATTACTATATAGTGGACAGCTTAATTCCTCATCAATACAAGATGCAACAGCACCGCCTGCTGATGTGTCCTGGCAGCCAGCACGACAGAGAGGAAGACATGTTTGTTTGTGCTCAGCGCTTTTTCTATCCCTTCAGGTGGAAAGCTAAAGCAAGGGGTGAACTGGGAAGATGTCGGAGAGAGAAAGACATAGAGGATGAAGGCCACTCTACCTGACGCTGAGCTCACGCTGTGAGCAACGGAGAGTGAGGAGGGGGGGAGAGAGTGAGAGAGCAATCCATCAGCAGCATGTGTGATACTGTGTTTGTGGTGGGGAGGACATAAAAAAGCAGACTACGCCATGGCAAGAAGTGCTCCCCACAAACAAAACTTGCTATTAGTGCAGTGGTGCAGAAAAACCAAAAGTCAGTTTCATATGTCGTCTCATAGTAACAAACACATCATTGGTGGGATCACAGGTTGTGTAATGTGGAAAGAAGCAGTCGGGCCTTTAAAGACAAACTTGCTCCTTGTGTCCCAATTTCTTAAAGATACTAGACAAACTTTCTCCATAAAACCAATCAAAGTCTGCTGAGGTATAAATTGTCAACGATAGAACAGAATATCATGGTCAATTTTTCTGTTGGTGCCATTTTGTTGCAAGTCATCATTTAAGATAGAATCAACTATCCTAAGCACAGCTTCCATGGAAAAATTAATCTGGTAATTAAATAAAGCATCTGGTCAGTTATTTTATGTTTGCATTTGCATTGTTTTTATTTTTGCCTCTTTCTTCACCTAGTTTTAAATACATTTCCTTTTAACGACAATAAAAAACATGGAGTATTTTTTAAAGATGACCAAAGCAGACTGGAAAACAACCTGAATCCTTCATCAACTATGTTGAAATGTAAAAAGTTGCTAAACCACTACAGTGTTCATCAAGCCATCTGATCAGCTTGCTTTTCGTGCCATTTGTGATGTTATCAATCCAAATACACACAAAGCAAAATGAACAGTTTCCCTCGTAAGTGAATGTCTTCTAAAAATGTGAAATTTAGCAGGAGAAAGTCAAGAATACAAATCCAAACAAATTCAAAACCCTCACTAACTCTTAGGCAGTTCACACATCCTCCACAAGAGGGCATGATGACCCTTGCATGCTAAATATAAAAATGGGCGCGAGCAAAAACAACTCTACCGAGTGCATATAGTTAAGAAGTAGTACTTAAAAATAAACTAAAAATAAGATGGAAAAAATGAAAAGGAACCGGGCTCGATTTAAATCTATTATAATATTTCATTGCTTAGATTTGTGAGTATGACCCTTCTTACCTCCTCCAGCTGACTGTGAACATGCTGCACAATCAGGTCAATGGCTACCATGTTTCCACCACCTGACAGGATGACAGAAGTCAGTGTAGTTTCAGGGTTTATTTGTCTTTTAGACCACCGCCTTGACCTTTATCTGATTCTGAACTAGTCCGTGCAGTAAGTGTGTAAGCGCTCACCACGTGGCACCACCAGATCCGCCAGGCGCATGGTGGGCTCGATGTATTGCTCAAAAGCAGGCTTCACAAACTTGTTGTATTGTTTGATGACACCCTCGATGTCTCGGCCTCGTTCCGTGATGTCCCTCCGCAGCCGGCGCACTAAACGGATGTCAGAGTCGGTTTCCACAAAGATCTTCATGTCGAGCAACTGCCGGGGTGCACCACACAATTAGAAATGTTTAAGTTCAAATTGAAAATTATGAAGAAAAACGACATTAAGAATCTTATTGGTTGGTGGTGAATTCACATCCTTTCAGATTTTAGATGTCATTGTATTATATTTCCTGATAAAAATCACAGTGAAATTCTCAGAGGCAAAAACTACCACAAGTTGATTAAATGTATATTTTTTGGAAAAAGTCCAATAACGCTGAAACAAAGGGTGTCGTGACCTAAAATTATTTATTGTTCTTACAGTTTGTGTCAAATTTACTTAGTATAATGTTTTCTTTTAATTAACTATATTTCAGTAATGACAAGCTTCATATATACTGCTGATAAATATTTGGAATTTTTATCGGCACTATAATTTATGGAAAATTGTGTGTAATTAACTATAATCTGGGTAAAAATCTCGAAATGTCATGCGAGTTAAAATTGCAACGGCGCATTCAAACAAATATATATTTTTAAAAAAATAAAACATTATTGCATACAAGTTTGTGTTGTGATTCAAAATGTAATTTAAAATGTACATAAAAATAATGTTTCATTTTAAATGATAAGATAGTAAGGGTATTAGGAATGCACAGTCAAGCTTGAAATTGGCTAAGTTTGTTTAGATATTTTTATAAGTTATGTCAGTAAGAGAACCATATAAAACAGTTAAAGTAAGGTGAACTTAAACATTTGCAACAATGAAAAAGAGAAAAAAACAAAGGAATTTTTTGAATATCCATACTAAATGAGTGACATTTAACAGCTAAAAACAAATTCTAGAAAATCAATCAAATTTATCTTTGCAATTCTCTGCTTATCTTTATCAACCCGCATGTGCATACATGTGAGGCTTCTGCATTTGTTTACTTTGCAAACAGAGAAAATGTATTTACTGAATATGTGTTATTAAAAAAACCTAGTAAGAAATGAATACACTAACCAAATATACTAAAGCAAGCTTTTCAATGATTTGCAGATCAGTATTCATGCCGTACCTGCAGGAGGGCTTTATCTGCAAAAGACATGATTCCCTCAAAGATGATGACGCTAGCTCCATATACAGTTTTCTGTGAGAAACAGACACAAAACATTCAGCTTAAATGCCCATAGAAACAGTGATATAATGACAGATCAGATTTATGAAGTGATATCTCAGTAAGTTTTAATAAATGCAAAAAAATGATCACTGTGGCAAAAGTATTCCTACCCCCTTAATGGTATCATAGACATTATGACAACTAATGAATTTAGTCTGCTTGCTCATCCCCTTCATTCCGACCAACTTAACTTTTCCTACTGAAGACAAAACACACCATAATGGTGCCACCGCCATGTTTGATTACCATGGTACATTCAGGGCAATGTGGAGTGTTCTTTAATATTGAGTTTCCTTTACGTGTGTATGCAGGTTTTGGTCTCAGATCAGATCTGGGCCCACATGCCCAGAGATTATCAGAGTCCTCTCAGAGAGCTCCTAGCTTAGCCTAAAAAATTCCTGCTAAGAGTTCTAGCTTAGAGTGACTGATGCTAAGTGATTGACGCTAAGAGTGATTGATGCAGCTACAGCTAGGTGTGATGCTATCTTCTAGGGACTGTGATTGGTGGATACACAAAACAAAATTAGACTAAAACAAACAATAATTTTCTGATAGAAATTAACCAATCATACACTCTAGACTGGATAAAGAAAAATGTGCCACGATGATGAAAATGAATAAATTGCCACACTGAATGAACATGTTCGATGGAAACTTATTTACATTCCCATAGTCATTGTGGTTTGTCACGGCCTCTCGTCATGCTGGTCATTTTAATAGGTTATCTATCAAATAGATGACATGGTATTTGCTCAGCTGTCAGCAATTTACTGGGATTGTTGTATAAAGTTGTTTGATCAATACAAAATAGGGAAGTAAAGGACACAACCAAATAGGACAGATGGGCAACGCCTAGAGCTTTATCCATTTTATAGACAATATTTCTTTCTGTTGATATTTCTTCTCAGCCTACGAGACTCTTACACTAACTAAAAGTCCTCCTCCTAAACTTTTAGAGTTTAGGCGTTCTCTAAAAGCCTAAGGTGCTTTGGGAATTCATTTTACCTTACCGAGGTGAAATTCTAAGACAAATCTTAGAATTCCAAAATATCCAGAAAAAAGATTCTTCTAAAATGTCATTAATAAGAGCTACTTTATAGGATTTTTTGGCCAGCATTTTCTTTTTGTTCTTCATAGGCTTGTGCTAAACTGCACAAGCCTCTTGTCACTTTATTTGACTTTCTTCTTGCAACTGCTCCACAAAGGCCGGATTTGTGGAGCGAATGCAAATACACACAAGCTTTGTCAGGTTTTTGTTTGTAAAGAATGGAAAAACCTTAATAAAATCCCATTAAAATAGTTTTGTTTGCAATGTGAATAAATGTGAAAAAGCTAATAAAAAACAGGCCAGGCTGCGTTAGGTCGTCCTTACCCACTCTTTCTGTCTCCCATGAGTTGTGAAGTCATAGACGGGGATTTTCACACTTTTGCCCTGTTTGAGTTTGCGCAGGGTGTGTGTCAGCAAATCAAAATCAAAGGCATCTGGGTGGTCAAAGTTATAATCATTCCTGGCTGCCAGCAGCTGCTCCTCAGGGGACAGGACCTGAAGACAGGCACATTGTGACTTCTACTGTAAAAATTAGCCTGTGTTGTTATTGTTCATGTGAGAAAGAACTGAAAACATTTCATGAAAATAAAAAAAATATCTGCAATGCACTATCACAATCATACAAAGTCAAATACTGCCACATGATATACACATGCTTGTGTGAAAACACTGATCCCTTCAAGAGCAGCAGTCGAAGTTAGGAACCTAAATTTAGTAAAACATCATGCGCCACTGTGACGTCTGTACCAGGTGCTGTCTCTGTATGTGTGTGTGTGTGTGTGTGTGTGTGTGGGGGGGGGGGCCTTAGGCTAGTTGTGCTTTGAAAAGCCCAGACCTGCTATTTGGCAGTTTCTGAACACCGACACCTCTTTCTTAAGTGAGCTGATTACACGCTTAATATGATAAACTGATGTTCCACGCTCTGTGTGGGCCGTAAGCTATTCCACCAGAAAAAACATGAAGTCACTAATGTACAAAGAAATTCCTGTTAGCGCTGCGAGAAAACCGGCTGAAAGCTGTAGTGGTGCTAGTCCTTGGTCGGGTATGACCCCCTGCAGAAAAGGATTACACAACCAGCGTGGGCGAACTTGCAGAGGGGTAAAAATGAAGTCTCTTATTTAACCGAAATTCAGTGCACTCTTTCTCCTCAGTCTGGCCTCTCTCTTCTCTGTCTCCTCTTTTCCCCCTCAGGATTCAATCTGTATTATATTTCGGTTTCTTTTTCTTCCACTATATTTCTGTCCTCCCACAGGCCTGAAGGACAGTGGGAGGATTTAGAGGAGCCTGATGTGAGTAGGTACCAAAAATCTTTCAATATAATGTTATGGTTTAATTTTCCTCAGTCTAAATGAACTTGCATTGATGAAAACTATACAAAAAATTTAGATGTGCACACACACGCACACACCCATATCGGTTTATGTCAGACATGCTACATCCTTATAAGTACCTTATAAAAAGAGTCCATTGAGAGTAAAACAACCCATGGAACATCTAAAGCTTCAATGATTTTCCTGGCAACTGTGGTTTTTCCTGAAGCACTGCCTCCACAAAGACCTGTCAGGATAAGTGGGAAAAAAAGACATTACGATAGGTATTTATAAAATAAATAAAAGAGCTGCACATATCAAAACTGCATTATCATACAATTGGTGCATGCAATATTGATATTACAAACTAATGTTCTTAATGTAATCTTTATCACCAATTATTCCAAGTGTCACAGATTTTGCATGCATAACATATTCAGTCTGTAGAATTTGGAGCCTCACTGCAGCCAAACTGCCACAGATAATAGATAAAAGTCACAGTGTTGTGAAAACTAAATGTCAGAGAAAGAGATTAAAATATTCCAATGACAGAAAACAAACATAAATGAGACAAAAATTGTGATAAATTCCAATACTTAAAATACAATATATATATCACTACTACATGACTTTCTAATGTCATGCAGCCTAACTGTGATGTCATAGATAACAAGTATGAGTCTTACTTCCAGCAGGTTATTTTTTATATTGTATTGAGAAATTATTGCTAGACACTGGTGGGTGCCCCATAAACATTATTATGCTAAAACTAGAAATATTTGTTAACATTTTTTTTTTAATTAAAACTTTAAAGCTTTAGTAAGCAAAAAGAAAGAGCAACGACACACCCGCCAAATAAGTAAACTAAAAATGCTTCAACTGTGACAGAAATATTTTCCAACATAAAAGCCAAACAGTCTTCTGATATTAATCTATCTCATAATGTATTATGCATTAGGAGACATTGCTGCCATGAAAATACTCTCAAAACATTTTAGGGATGATTATCAACCAACAAAATGTCCAAATCTTGCTGACACTTAAGAATGTGTGAGTAATCCAAACATTCGGTTGCACCTCTCAGGTTGTGCAGCATCGAGGCAGCAACACGTAGGAGTTTTTCTCACTTCCTGCCTTAACTTTCACTGACATCTAGCTCTTTCTGGACTGCGTTCTCTCATAGCAAACAATTCCGGGTCAGAACCCAATGAAAACGGGTTCTGTTTGTTTGCTTTGTTTATGTTTACATCAGCTGCTTTTCATGCAACTGGGAAGAGGATCAACAGTTTTCACTCATCACTGGAATACAATATAAAGAAAAGTAAATTAGTGTTAATTTCTGCAAAGTACAAGTCTTATTAAGTACCACTATTATGTCAAACTTGTCAATATCTCTTCTCAGATATCAAGGTAGGACATTTTAGAAAAATGATTAAGATGTAAATTTTTGACCTTCTTTTTATTACTAAAATGAAATTGTAAAACTTTTATGTTCAACATATAACACTAAATATATTAAATTTTTTGACTATCTGAAGCAAGTGGTTGTGACTGCTTTTGAGTTCATCAGTTTTCCATGGAGACTGTGCAACAAACTCCTCTTTGTTTGCAGAAAGCAACAAATAGTTGTTATCGTTATGTTACTCCCTGTTGACAGTTATCAATAATAGATTTAGGCAACTTTTGAAAACCCCTGTTGTCAAAGCAAATCTCAGTAGATATATATTTTCCTATATGGAGGAGTTGGTAATGGAAAACACAACAATGTTTTGACCTTTGTGCCATAAACACGCAACAAGTCAAACTCAGGATGAAATTTTTTTCAGTTGGTTCATGAGGTCGGACCCTGAACTCCCAATCAAACTGGTTGCTGAAATACATCATGGGACTTGAGGTTTTGTCACAAAGTAAGAACAAGGAAATTCCTCAGTCAGAACACAAATAATTACATTTACTTTTTAAACACTTGGACGACAGAGAACAGTGTTTTTCCCAAAATATATACTGTACTATGCTGTTATGAGAAAGTAATTTTAATAAAGCAAATCTGTACATAATCTTTGCAGTTTCTTACCAATGACGAAGGCCTCTTTGGACTGTGCTCCATGCTCGTTGTACCACGGTGGGCGACCGGCTGTGTAGATGGTTCGTTTGGAGGTGCGCAGCAGCGGAGGCTCGGATTTACACTGGCTGGTGGTCCGTTTCCTGGGAGAAAGACCCAAGCTGACAGAGGGCAGCAGTCGGTCCAGCGACCCCTCACTACCTCCACTTTAAATAAGCAAACACAAAAGAGATCCCAGTGGAAGTGTTTAGAGCAAAAAAAACACATGACATAATAAAAATGGTCCAGTTAAATGACAGTGAACAGACTGTACCAGCGATGACCTACTGTATCCCAGCCATTGGTTAATGTTTAGTTTATTTTTTACATCTTCAGCAAGTGAACTTTGTACACCATTGTGGAAAAGGCAGCAGGTAAAAAGGGCAATTTTGCTGCTGATTTGGGATAAAAGCTTAACAGATAAAGAAGTTCATAAACAACTTTAGGTCGTAGAGATAACAGAGCCAAATATCCTTCGATGGAAGCAGAGACCTGTGTGTATACATGAGCTCAGACAATTCAATCAAATGGATCCAACTGTTTAATCAGAGCACAGTCACAAAGACTTTAAAATGTACTCATTGCCCTTGGATTTTATTTTTTTTTCCCCAAAGAGTTTTTGCAGCACTAGTGGCTCATATTTTTGACAGTAGGCAGACAGGAAAGAGGGCGAGGAGGGGGGGAAACATGCGGCAAAGGTCACCGGGACTCGAACCCGGACCCACTAAGGCCTCCAAACGTGGGGCGTGCTAACCCCCTGCGCCACCACAGCACGCCCCAACCCTTGGACTTTTAAGATTTAATCACACGCTTTGGTGTGTTTTATTGGGATTTTATGTGAGGGAGCAGCACTAAGTGGAGTGGGTTGACTGGGTGACACTTGGTAGAACCAACGGTTGGAATTACATAATAATTATGCAAATGCACAATAGCTCAAATTCAATTCAATTTGACAGAAAATATATTGTCCAAAGTCAAGGAGACATAGTTCTGGACTTTGACTAGGTCATTGAAATCCAAGAATATGCTTGGAGCTAAATCATTCCAGAGTGGATTTGGCTGTCCTGCTGATAAACAAACTTCCACTCAAGACTTTAGTCTCTTGCTGGTTGTTCTGCCAGTCTTCCCTTCATTTAACTCCATCCATTGACTGACAGCATCATGCTGTGGGAATGCTCTTTAAAACAGAAACCCCTCATCACTGCTCGACAGCCACAGATCAGGAAAAGCTATAACCTCTTTAGTATTAACTGCTGAGTCATGCAGTCAGTTGTCCAACTGAACAAAACACATTGTCCCAGTAATGAAGACGGTAAACAAATGATAACAAGCTGATTCAAATTAGACACAAGGTTCTCACTGGACAAAAGTACAAAGTGAATTTGCATTAACTACTGAAACAAAACACAATGGACATGCATGTCTTTTTGCAAGACAGAGAAGCGATGCTGATTACTGCAAGGGCTCTATGACTTATTACCAAAATAAAACATATCCAGAAACTGATACTGAGTTAGAACAGCAAAAGTCAAAATGCAGCTGCTTCACTTTGGAGAACAAAAGCAATGCAGTAACTAATTGCTTAATGGAGGCGTTTCCTCAGCTTTAACAGAAGAACGTTTGCTGCAGATCAATTTAGTCATACTACTGGAAAAAACAAACATAATATTGTAAAATCCAGCAGAATATTGTGAAGTAATCAAATCCTAGGAGAACGCAAAACAGTACAAGTAAATCTTCTGATTACTCTTAATTTCAAATTTGTTATTTAAGGTTTTTGCAAAAGAAAAAAAAATCAATGTTTATCTATAAAAAATCTAACCAGTCCGCAGCTTTTAGCAACACTTACTGTAGTATACGAGACATCCACACCTCACCCAGAAAGGACTGTAAAGAGCCAGAGGCCATAACCACAGAGAGGAATTCCAAGATGTCTGCTCTCATCCAGTCAATTCTCTGGCTTTAAAATCTTTACTCAGATCACAAAGTTTCTCAGGTAGAGTCAGGAGGTGGTTGGGAAGCAAATGAGAAGCTGGCAAAGATTTATCTTATCTAATCAGAGTCACCTGGGTGAAACCAGGGAGTGTACTCAGACAACAGACAGAGCTACATATGAGACGCGGATCGCTCAAAGTGGGTTATCAGTTAAAGCCAAACTACAGTGCCATAATAGATTAGCCTGGCTGATGCTGCTGAATCATGCACCATCAGCATGGTGGTGCATGATTCACCATGCACCATCATGCTCCAAAACGCAAAGTGCACTCCATGAATGCAGCTTTGATAGGAGGGGAAAAAAGAAGGACAAAAAGTCAGATTGCATGTAAACAAGAAAACTTTTTGGAGCGCACATGTGAAGAAAGTAAGCTGGTAAAAAATTTAGCAATTTTAAAATATCCCTAGAAATGCATAAAAATGACAAACATAAACTGACATTTAATTACTTAAAAAAACCCAAAAAAAACAAGCTAGAGCCTTTCTTGCCTCAATTTGTATTACAGAGTTGATTAGTAAGACAATACAGCCACATGATTCCCAGGAGATCTTCTCAGTTTATAAACAATAACAATTTGATTCAAAAGACAGCTGATGATGACACTGTTCCACATTTGGAGAGGAAAAAAAGATGTCAACATTGAAAATATATGAATAAATAAGACACTTACCTGCCATCAGATCTTAGAGTCCAACAGCCAGATATTCTAGCTCCTGAGTAAGCTGGTATAGTGTTCATGACGGGAGAAACTATTTCGGATTTGCTTGTGTTTTAGTTCAACACTTCTGCCAACAGGTAATAGTTTTAATACATCGGAGCACAGTCACACGTTCAACCACCACGCCCCTTGTTGCAAAACATCCAGAAACACTAAAGAGTTGGAGTTATGTGGTGGTATTAACTTGGGTGAGAAACGAAACTTAAAGCATCTGTTTAGGTTTCAGATTCTCCTTCCTTCAGACAGAGGAAGACTCCACAGCCTGGTTGTTGGAGAAAACGACAGAGTGAAACTGCAGCACAGCTTTTCCCTCCTCTTTCTCTGCTCCTCCCCCTTTGGCTGTCCAGCCAGCAAATCTAAGAGGATCACCTACCCCTTTCCAGATTATGTTCATTAGTTTGTATTAATAGCATCAGGTTAGAGCTATACCTCCCTAGTACTGGCACAAACACATGTGTCTCATAAACAGTTCGGACAGTCAGTGACGCAAAACGTGGCTGGAGGGGGGGCAGAGTGACTGGAGAAAAGCAACACAAACAAGGAAACTTTTAAAGAAGAAATAGACAAAAAGGTAGCTGCTGTTGTTCTCTGATGTTGATTGGATCCAAAGAGGAGGTGCCTCAGGCTGAGCTGAAGAGGTGACAAGACGAAGCAAAACAGGGAAAGGAGGGAGATGATGGAGGAGGAGGGCGGGGAGGACGTGATGTGTGCTTGTACCCTGCAGAGACTCGCTACGTTTCTGCCTTACTCAGAGACTGGAGATGTCAGCACCACTGAAAACAAACACACACACACGCACGCAAACGCATGCACACACACAGAGAGAGCTGTGCCTCCTCCCAGGCTTCACTCCCACTGAGGACGGAGGGAATAAACAGCATGATGAAACCCAACACTCCTGCTCAATCAGCTGAAAGTCTGAAGGACGGCCGTTGGCAATGTGCAAGTCGCACCCTTACACTCCGCCTGGGCCGGGCAAAGCAAATATTAAGTCTTTATTTATTTATTCATTGCAAATCTATGCAATTAGAACAAAAAAATAAAGAAGCAAACCGATTTACTTTAAACCAACAAGTCAAACCCCTACAGCTATTCTGACTGCACTACACACATCCAGCTTTTGTTTTCTTCCTTGATCAAACTACAATGAAATTCCTCTGATCGTAATCACAGTTATGGAGCCGTGGCCAGAGCTTTAAAGTGCAGGCTGAAGACAGCTGCAGCACAAGAAAGCCACACTGAAACAAGAAGCTCCAGTGAGTTGCTATGCCAAACATTCAAAAAACTCTCTACGGATACAAAGACGCAAAGCCATGTCTAACACAGCAGAGGCAGCCTGGGGAAAAAAAAAAGAATCTACTGAGTCTGAAATAAAATGCATTCTGTTGCTATTCTGTTTAGGTATGAGTCACACATTTTTACACAAGAATAGCCTGTTTATTTAGACAAACAAGGTTTTCAATGAACTCCTAGACACCTCTAGAGCACGAAATCCATCTAAAACCAATCACTTCAGGTTAGAAGTTTTGCATGAAAACTTTAACAAAGACATTTTGAATACTTTTTCTTATTCCATACTATGTTGTAAGCGAAAAAGTTTAATCACAAAACAAATGCCCCTACAGTGCCTTGCAAAAGTAATAAGACTACTTACAACCTCCAACTTCAGTCCACTATGTATGTCTATGTCCAACACAGTCTGTCATAATACAGACTTAAAATGTTATCATATTTTGTAGTACTATTGTGGTAAAAGTGATAAGAACTATTTGTTACTTTTGTTTTAGGTAAATGTGTAACATTGCATGACACAGCAATTTCAGCCCGACAAACACAAATACAGGTCTTGGAAAAACAGCCACTAAACTTCACACAGTAACTGTATTAATCATATTTTCACATTCAAAAAGATAAATCTACATCCTTCTCACAATAGGAAATTTGTCACAATAAATGATAAAGAATATGATAAATGCCCACCCCTAAAACCAGCATAAAGTAGTGGAGTAAAAATTATTCATTGGTTTTGTATTTTTTACAAGTAAAAACATTAGAAGTGCATCAAGAATAGTTAATAGCATCTCTTAAGTCAGTACCAACTTTTATTTAGGACTACGTCTCTATCCGCTTTGATAAAGAGTGACATTAATGCCCATTCTTTTTTTGTAAAACAGCTTTACCTTAATTGTATTCAGCTTTTTCCCCGTTTTAAGTTTTCCTTCAGTAATAGCCTGTATTTTGCAACATTCAACTTTCCTTTAACTCCGACAAGCACAATCCCTACTGAAGACAACCTCAACATGACACTACCACTACAATGTTTTATGGTGGGCATGGTGTGTTCAGCACTATGTGTAAAGTTCTCTAACAAACCTCTGCAACCTTCAAAGAAAAGCTGTAGTGCTCAGATGAAATTTTTTGTTACGTGCAGAAACTAGGTGATTTCTGAATGTCACTGACTGCATTGGATGTAATTTAGCAATATCAAAGTTAAAAGGGTTGAATGCAAATGTACAACACACATTTCTGATTTTTATTTATAAAAATCTACACACAATTAACTGCCACTTTGCATTGGTTTATTTTTAAATTTCCAGACAAAATATATTAAGTTGGTCCGAATATGTATGAAAGGTGATTAATATGTCTACATTTTCCATTTAAAATTAGTGATGAATAGCTCAAACAACAATAAAATGTTTCACACTTGAGCATAAAAAAAAGTAATTTAAATATTAGAATTTAGATTTTTGTGGAGTCAAAAATCATTCGGTTCTCGCCCTTTTTTCAACTGTATATAGTAAACAAGTCATTTCCATGTTCGATCTCCTTTTGAGGGCGTTTTTATTCAGATTGTTAGGTTACGTAAGTGAACAGGAACACCGAGGTACGGTACTGCGCCAGTGCAGTGGACTGATCAGCAACGCCCTCTAGTGGTACTTCAGGAGATCAACCTTCATGCTGATGTGATGCAGAGATCATTTCTTCACGGCATAGCACGTGTACCTTAAATTACACTATTGGCCATTAAAATGTGAATTTATTTCACTCCGTAACCATGAACACAGGGCAAACATAATAAATGAGTCCGGAATATTAAAAAGATTAATTTGTATCGCCATACAAAACCTAAATTAAAGTGGACTGTGGTCAGTGCCTTACCGTAATTTATGCCCCTCGGTTATACGTCTTAAAGTTTTAGAGCACGTATTGCTTAATATTGTTAGCTAATCGGATGTTTCAAAATGTGAAATTATATCAGGAGGCCACTTGGTGTAAAATCGGACACGATGGTCGTCCCGTTGGTTTACTGTATATGAAATTTGCCTGTACCTAAAATTCTACCCAGAATGGAGCGGCTACTATAGGTGACAGTTTAATGGAAGGAATAGTGTGAGTGGTTGCATCCGTGAAGATGCTTAACTATTGCTAAAATAAAAAAAAATAAAAAATATATGTACAATAACCTATCAAATTAATCCAAAGTTTCAAACGGCAAACACCCCACCCTGAAAGCGGAGTACCTGTTGGAAACAGTGCAAGTTTTCTCCTCGTTGTCCATCTTAGCAAGCCTTTCTTCCACGCTAACGGCAGACATGGCTTTTCTCTGTTGACAATCAGGTGTTCGGTTCGCGCTGAGGCATCATGGGATATGTATGCGTTTCGTTACTCACTCTTCGAACGCAGTGCGGCGTTGGCTCTCTGAAAGACTTCAAGCCCTACAATGCAATTGCAGATTTTTTTCCCTTCTGATTTACAGTAAAAAGCATGTAGTGCAGTAAGCTATGACATCACACGGGGTCTTTCCCAAAGCTTAGTGATGTTTTCCAGTAGATCTGATTTACTTTGTATATCTATATATCTATATATATATAGATATATCTATCTATATAGACAGATATAGATCTATCTATATAGACAGATATAGATCTATCTATCTATCTATCTATCTATCTATCTATCTATCTATCTATCTATCTATCTATCTATCTATCTATCTATCTATCTATCTATCTATCTATCTATCTATCTATCTATCTATATATATATATATATATATATATATATATATATATAAAAATTAAAAAAAAATCCCTTCTCACCCACCGCGGGTGGTTCTTATCCTCTGAGCTTGGGTCCTCTACCAGAGGCCTGGGAGCTTGAGGGTCCTGCGCAGTATCTTGGCTGTGCCAAGGACTGCACATTTCTGGACTGAGATGTCTGATGTTGTTCCTGGGATCTGTTGTAGCCACTGCTCCAGTTTGGGGGTTACTGCCCGAGGGCCCCGATGACCACAGGCACCACTGTGGTCTTCACCTTCCAGGCCCTCTCCAGTTCTTCCCTGAGGCCCTGGTATTTCTCCAGTTTCTCGTGCTCCTTTTTCCTGATGTTGCAGGCGATTGGTATTGCTACATCTACCACAACGGCTTTCCTCTGTTGTTTATCCACTACGACAATGTCTGGATGGTTCATTTTGTCTGTCTGGATCTGGAAGTCCCACAGAAGAAAGAAACTAGCAAGCATGTGAACAGAGAAATGTGTTTCTTTGCTAAAGGTAGCAATAACAAGAATAAATTCTTTCTGAAACTTCATATCTAAGAAGAACCCAAGTAGGGGACCCTTTATAGGTTCCTCCAAAAGTAACATTTATCAGTATAGTAACCACAGGTTTTTGACAGTGACACATTATTTGTCACACAGTGTACAAGAAAAAAACATTTTCATATAGTTCTTGAAAATCTGTCATGAACCAAGCTGCAAAAAACACAATGGTGTCACACTATGTTTTTTCAGCCTTTTGAAAAACACTTTTCTTGTTTTGGGTATGCAGAGTCCTCTAAACATTTTTATAAAGTACAAACCTTTACCAGCTGTAGTGAAGTTATTGTGGAAGATTGTATATAATGTGAATAACATTTAAAATAACACTGGTAAAGACCTTACATGTATACGACAATGAATTAGTCATCAAACTTTATTAATTAGTTAAGGGATACTAATGCACAGGTAATACAACAAGTTTTGGGAGAAAAGGTGTAACAGTTCAGACACAAAGGAGGAACTGATTCCTCCTGTGTTAAGTACTATACAGCTTAATTTCAGATATGGAAATCTTAATTACATAATCAGTCTCATTTTATCTGTTACCCAAGTATCATAAACAGTTATGAGCCGTCGTGCAGCTCTCAAATATTTCATTACAATGGCCGGCACCAGAATCGGATGCCAGTTCCTGCTTTTCAAGTAGGTAGCATACAAAACGAACCAGGGTAAAATTCATAGGCCAAGAGG